AAGATGGAAAAAACTGTTTTTTTGACTATCACAGTATTTTCAAGTAGCCATTTTGAATTAAAATAAAATAAAAAGATTAAACATGTTGATTTCGATTGGAAAAAAAAATCGGTCCTCAAAGGGTTAAATGAGTGCGTTACCGATACTTGTAGTATCCACAGAATCGCAGCGATAAATCTAAATAAACTGTTATTCAGCTACGTACTAAACATTTATGTTATCGACTTATACGGCAAGTTTCGCATTTTCATGTGTCATCGTTGCGGAAGTAATGCTACGTGAAGGTCAAGAATGGCTGAGTGCGCTACCTGTAGACTGCGATGCCACACCTGAACCAAGAAAAACTAAAAGTTCACTTGGTTCCCATTCTGGAGAGAACGCTTTGCACTATATACCCATGGAAAAAAACTAAATATGCGGCGATCCGAACTAGGCTTATAAAGACCTCGGAGAAAACCGATCTTCTGAATATTTTCGAAAGCGATTTTGCATATGAAACCATAGACGAAACTATCTTCTTTCTTTGATTGCTGCAAACCCCAGATCTCTATCTTTATTAGTTATTCAAAAAAGCGCTAACTAGCGTGTCTCGCGTAGACAGAGTTAGCGTTTTTTTCTCAAAATCGATTTTTATGCTAGTAGTCGAACGTTAAGCAAATTTTTTTAAAATATAGTTCATTATAAAGAGGCGCGGTTTATTTTACTTATAGGACACTCGATACTCCTTCGGATGAGGGAAAGGAACTTTTTAATTAGACTCTAGTTCTGTAGAAAATCACGTCTGTCTGAAACACCTCTGATGGTATTTGAAGATTTTAGATGTTTCGACGCTCCCCAAAATTAAAGAAAAAAAGAATAAAAAAATCTCTTCACCTCATCCGAAGCGGTAAATAGTTCTCCTTCAAATAAACAATCCCGGGTTCTGTACCTTGAAGTATAGTGAAATAGAATTCGCACGGGCAGAGGGTCCATTTTGAGCCTTGGTCTATAGATAATCGCGGAACGCTGAGGTATAACGGCGAAAGGAAAATTTCACAACTTTACTTTTATGTGCCCAACATTTGTGGAAAGTGTTGTGGCAATTCCATACATTGTATCGAAAATCGATTTTGGAGGGAGAGGGACGGCCTTAGAAACCGACGATTTTAATAGACCGTAGGTTTGAGGAAAACGCTTGCTAAATGGAAACCAAAAGTTTCTAAAATACCTTCTGTATACTGTTTGTAGAGAAATGTTTTCTCGACAAACTGCCGTTTTAAAAAGATGTTGCAACTCGTTTTTACGAAAGTATAAACTATTTATTGTGAATTTTTGAAAAATACGAAAATAACACTACTGTGCACTACTAATTTCAATGTGTGTATATGTAAAAACATACTATTCTAGATTATCTTGAACTTTCGTCCTTTTAGCTATGTGTGAACTATGCCTTCAGTTAAGATCTCCAAATTGAAAATCTGAGAATTTTCAAAAATCTGTAAAGTGATGAATTATGTGATGAACTTCTTTTTCATTTTTTTGTCGGGCCACTAAGATCTGTCAGGTGCTATGAGCCACGACGGAAGGGAGGATCGAGATTCGTCAGCATTTAAGAAGAAAAATGTAACTGGTCAGATATTCTTTGACTCATATCATTTTGTTTCCTGTATTGATGATCTTTTGTGACTTGACGATACACAGAATACTTTTGAACTACACAGAACGAATTGTTAACTCGATCGGATGAAATTTAAGGGGGGGTCGTAATGTCGTTCAATGAAAAACCGAGTTTTCCGGAAAACTGCTGAACGGTAATAGTTAAAAACTTAAAACGAAAAATTGCTTTATTGAGTTTCCAAACCACTCTGAAAAAATGAAGCTTTAGTGAGCTTTAGTTTTTACTTCATAGCATTTCTTCGGAAAGCCCAACAAGAGGGAAAGGTACTCCTAATGGACGAACGACCGTTGGTAATTTATCTATGAAAGTGGCACCGACAGAATTTCGATACAAAAATCGATGAGAAAACAATTGTTGTTGCTTATCACAATGTTCAAGGTTGCCGGTTAGCTTATGAAATATGCGTTAAGGAATATCAATGATGCTTTTTGCCTATAGGTATCGAGTATATAACAAACTTTTACATTTTGTTTTTATATGAGCGACCAAACTCATTTGTGAGAAAAGAATAGAACGTCGTTTCTTCATGGTTAAAGTAAACGTTCTCCTTTCAATGTTATGGGAGAAATGTTCTGGAAAGAAAAGTCTCTTGAATTCTTTCTCAGTACGTTGCGACCATCAATATTTTATCGTAGATCTAATTATTAAAATAATTATTCCGTTAGTTTTTCGAGATCTTTCTTTTCTGCTTGTTGAACCCAATCACAAAATGTAGATTCTTCCCATAAGACAAAAACTACCTCGTTTAATTTAGAAGAAAACTTTTGGACAGCTTCGATTGCAACCTGGGCAGCTTTTGGAACAGGATAACCGAAAACACCGCACGACACTGCCGGAAATGCAATTGAACGATAATTATTTTTTGTAGCTAATAATAAACATTCTTTATAACATGAAAATAATGTATTTCTTGATTCCGCTTCATCGCTTTCGTCGAAAATTGGACCCACGGTGGCAATAACACAACTGGATGGCAAATTGCCGCTTGGTAATGCAAGTGCTTTTCCAGGTAATAGACGCCATCCTCTTTTATCAATTATTTGAGACTTCCTACATGCTTCTGCGTATACATATCAGCTCTCTTGTAAATAGCACCCGTAACACCTGCACCATCAGTGAGAAATTCATTTGCAGCATTTACAATCACATCAATACGCTCCAGAGTGATATCACCTTGTTTTATTGTTAATACTGTACTTTTTGAGAGAGAATATTTAATAATATCCATTGGTGGCCGTCCGGTATCAGAAGAACTAGTACATGACATTGTACTTCTATTATCTGATGACAGTGAAAGTATTTGTTGTGCTAAATAGTTAAAAGACATAAAATGCTAATCATGCAAATTAGGCAGCATTGCATATTAAACATACAATTATACTTATTTTGCTTCTGCTGGTCATCTCTATTAAAATTATCTGCTTCTACATGTCTGTTAGATCTGTGTGGAGCCATGAACGGGCGTTCATTTACAGATGCTGGTGAACGTTCATCGATTTGTTGACGTTTATCCATTCCTTGTGCTCGTTTTCTCGACCATTCAGTTGAAAGTCGTTTACATAAATCAAGCCACATTGGCAACTTAGATGTATCATCAATCACCATTACTATATCACGTATGTATGCGCCGCTATTGCTGTAAGCTTTGTATAATTGTTCAAGTACTTGTTCCGGTCTATACTTATGTCTGGTATACCCATCTGGTGAAATAGCTATTCGATTAATACGGTATTTTGTTGAATATTTAAATATTGGCAAAAGATTTTCATGGAGAATATCCAAATAATGTTGATTATCGTTGTGAGGTGGAGTACAATAAGGTAATGGTAAATGAATAATATATCTGGCATGCAACTCACCACCACGCATAATGTAAAGTTCGTCATTTGGATTTAGAGATGCACAAGCTTGCTTATATCTGGGACCGGCTAAGTCACAAATCATTTGAACAGGTTCTATTGAATGGGTGTTATCAACATTAATAATGATGGCATCTACTTTCTCTTGTGAAATATGACCTTGTTTTACCACTAACAGTGAATCACCAAAGTCAAATTTATATTCGTAGTTTTCTTCGTTAAAACAAGTATTGACGTTAGAAGGTACAGATGACGAACTTTCGCCATGCCAACGTGAAGAGCTATTATTTCCCTGTCTTCCACTATTCTGATCAGATACATTACGCCTTTGTTCTACATGTGTGGTATATTCCGCATTTTCATTTGCTCTCCCAGCTGCAATGAAAATAAGGAAACGTTTAACAATTACGTAGTGATGGATAGTAGAGCTTCTACCGGATCGTCCATTTAATGTATTGTAGATGCTACATTTTTACAAGAATCGTCTGGATATTTTCAACTAATCGTTGTA